TGCAAACTTGTGATACATTATTAAATGGTCCTTGTATATGTTTGAATTCATGTTTTCAGAATACTTCTTACTGTCTACTCTGTATTGGTTTTATCATGTGGTTTTGATTCTTGAAATCTTTAATATCTACAATTATATGTGTATCTTCTTGTGGTATNTATCTACAATTATATGTGTATCTTCTTGTGGTATCGTGTATATAAAGACAGTATATTGTTGTGCAAACTTGTGGTACATTAATAAATGGTCCATATATATGTTTGAATTCATGTTTACATCTGTTGATCAAGCACAACAGGGCTTATCAATATCACCAGGTGGTACTATGATACAATGTGATACGATGTGATACATATGATACATACTCACCCACTACATACATGTGTGATATCAGATTTAGTAATCACTTCATGATTCGTAATTATGATACACAGTCCATACATATATTGCAATATGTGATACCAACCATTAAACAACTTAATTAAATTAGACAACATATGATATATGCAGAACAATTTATGTATTTAACAAAAAAATTCGAAATATCCATTTCATATAAGCTAAATACCAGACGTTTATGTCTTAAATACAAAAACCCATCTTAACATATCAGTTAGAGAATCTGTTCCAAACAAGTTACAAAAAATAACTACCATTTACTGTATACTATATGAAATACTATTCCAAATCAGTTCTTAAATACTTGCAAGCCTCGCTTCCCTCTTTAAGTCTTTTTGCTTCGTTTGCACATATTTTTGCTCCCTTCTTCTCCTTCCTACCAGTATCTCCTTCCTTTTCTGCATTCTTATCATTTTACGCTTCCTCTTCGATTTTTTTCCACCTGAAAGATCAAGAAAATTGATTATTAGACCAAAGTGTAAACTAGAGAATAAGATGCAGTAAAATACAATGATAAAAGTCTCTTTAGAAAAGAACATGCATGGTTGCATGAGAATACAAAAACACTACCATGAGTACTGAATGGAAGTTGCAAGACATATTATTTAGTCAACTACCATATGTCATCAGCTTCAATCACTTTATTCATTGAACCTGAATTCAAAATCTCCATTCATATTATTTCTGTGATGACTCTATGTCCGTATAGTTTACCAGATTGTAGCACAACCACATTGTGTTTATGTTAACAATGGCTCACTAGTTAGCCATTGATGGAAAGAAA